CTTCTCCTTTATTTTCCTTTCCCTTTTCTTTCTACTCGTCTGCCTAATTGTTATGGGACCTTACCCACAATAACAAATGGAGTATTGCATACGTAATAAATACTGCGCCTCAAGAGGAAGCAGGGTGTTCAGTCCGAAATCGGACGACCGGCTGATCGGTTGAACTCTCTGCCTTCGTGCGGGGGAACCCGAAGGAGGCTACGCCGAAGGAAAGTCTCTTTCGGGGAGGTAAACCGAACCCTGAACCCGTTTATATGGGTTCAATGGCATATTTTTTGGCCGAGCCCACGGGCTTCAAAGATCCACGTTAAAAAAAAAACCTTGTGCCACATGATGCCCTCGTGGTTCCATCCGGGTGACTGAATATCGTCAGTGAGTTGGTCAATCCGAAGTCTGAAGACCGGGCGACCGGCTGATCGGTTGAACTCTCTGCCTTCGGGCGGGAGGAACCTGAACAGGCTACGCCGAAGGGCGGATTCTCTTTCGGGGAGGTAAACCGACCCTGAACCCGTTTATACGGGTTCAAAGGGCATATTTTTTGCCGAGCCCACGGGCCCGAGATCCCACGTTAAACCGGCCTTGTGCCACATGATGCCCTCGTGGGGGGGGGTGACTAAATACTGTTCAGTCTGATGTCTGGAGGAGGTCCGTAAGGAGTCTGTCAGTCGAGTCAAGAGTCGAGTCAGAGGCAGTCCGAAACAGAGTCGCGTTCAGACAATTACTGCAAGACATTGGAATAGTGATACTGGTCAAGACTACATTGTTCTCTCTACTAAACCTGATTGTTCATACTAACACTTCTACTTCTCTGTATATATTCCTGTTTGTAATATATCTGTGTTATTCCATATCCGTGTTCGAGTTCTTCTTTATTGGTTCTACCTGGGACTATCACCCGGGGTACAAGGAACCGGACCATAACACTAATTCATTTCCAGCTTTCTCCTCTTCTTGTCCACTGTTTTCTTTCTATTCTTCTTTTGTTTTTGTTTTTGTTTTCTTTCTTTTCTCTCATTCCTGGTTCGTTTTTATATATTTTTTGTTTCATTTTCTTTTACACTTTCTTTTCTTTCTTTTTGTCTTTCTTTCTATCTTTTCTTATTTCTTTTCTCCATTCCTTTTCCTTATTTTCATATTCGCTTTTACTTTTATTGCTTTAGTTTTCATTTTCTTCTTCTTTCTTTCTTCTTTCCTACATCTTCAATCACTTATGTACCTCGCATGATAAACGCTTAAACATCTTTTGATACACCACTGACGAGGCACATTTTTACACGCAAGGCTATAGAACCTAATTTTTTTTTTCCATCCAAAAATCAGAACCCGATCTTTGTCCTGCTATTTACCCATAGCTGGGGGATAAGAAAAGATTCATACCTTTCCGAATTGCATTATAAATGTCGTTATTTAATGTAACGGATTCTATTTCTTTTTACTTTTTTTGAATTTTAAATTGCCTTTCTTCAAAATAAATAATGACTGTATTCTTAGGCAAATCTTTTTCTCGCAGTTGATTGGCGATCTATTTTCTTTTCTGCGCTAGAATCATTGCCATCCAAGTTTATATAGAACGAATTCTGTCCTGCTATTTACCCATAGCTAGAGGGAGGAGAAGAAGAGAAGAATACCTATCCCAGTCGTATTATTTTGTAAGTGAATGTAAATGGATTCAAGTGAAATTTTATTGTATTTTTGTTTTAGAACAGTTATGTGTCATTCGTGATACATGACTGACGAGGCAGATTTTTTCCCCAGTAGGTTGGCATTTTCAAACCGGTAGACCATAAGCCATCCAAGGCTATAGAACCCGGTCTGTCCTGGTATCTATCCATAGCTGGAGGGAGAAGAAGAGGATTTACACCTTTTTCAGGGATTTAGACGGAAGTGAATGTAATGGATTCGACTGGAATTCGAACTCGGCTCTCCGATTCCTTAACCGAGCCGCGGTCCATTACTCCACCGTCACTTCATCGTACTTTTTTCTTTAAGAATTTTTCTGCTTCTTTTTCTAATTCCTCTTTTCTTCTCTTCCATTTGCCTTTCTTCTTCGCTTTTCCTTTTATTCGTTTTATTTTTCTTTTTATTTTCTTTTTTTTAAATATATACATTTTTTAAAATCTCTCATTAATAGAAAAATTTTTATATTTTTCTTCTTCTCCTTTTTCATTCCTCCTACTTCTTCCTTTTCTCTTTTATTCGCCTTTCTCTTTCTTAATGCTTTCCCTTCATTATCTTCCTCCTCTGCTTTGTTTTCCTTTTTGCAAAAAATTATCTCTCTCTCTCTTCTTTCTTTTAGAAATATATAAACTTTCTATTCTTCATCAAAAAATATCTTTAACTTTCTTTTTTTTTGTTTTTTTTGGGAATTATTAGCTTTTTATCCCATTCGTTTTTATTCATCGATTTACTAACTACACCTGTGTAAATCAAGCTGACTCACTGAATCAAAGACGTTCGGCCACAGGCAAAAATGCCTGTAGTAACAAGATTCTAACGAGATGCGATCAGAAGCCGGCGAATTTATTTACACCTGATCAAGCTCAGGAGAAGATGAGATCAACTTGAGCCGGCTGATTTGACCAACAGACCAAAAGACAATACAACATTGAACGGACTAGATCTGGTCAAGGAGTTAAGTTGATAAAGAAATCAAGTTTACGAGAGAGACAAATGGGAAAATCAAGTTGCAAATTGCCTCAAAGGGTCACAATACGAAGTCATTACCATCGACACTAGTCATACTGCTCCAGGACTAATTAAAATGGTTTATTCGGCTCTGCCTAATTTTCATCTCCAAACGAAGTCAATTATCGATTCAATGAAGGACAAAAGGGTTTCCTTCTTCAGTTGAAGAATCATAAACTTGCTGGTGTAAACTTTTTCGAAGAAACTAAAAGTTTGGCACTATCTTCGAATTCTTTAGGCAGATTTAAACAAAATATACCAGTAATTAATCATCAAATCAAACAAAACTGCCAGTAACTGTGGCAAATCTTTTTAACTTTAAGTTATTTACAAGTTTAGTTTCGTTTGGTTTTTGTTTTACGACATATCAACCTCAATGGGTTATTTAATGTCGACAAAATTTTTATCGCTGGTAATATGTTTTTCTTCAAAAATCTATTTTTGGGAATATTTTTCCTTGAAGAAATCGAAAGCTGGTCATATTTTTTTTTCCAAAGAATGTATAACTGTTTGTATTGTTGGTATTTTTTTTAAAGTATTGCTGATAATAATTTTTCCTTCAAAAATTATTGCTGGTAATAATTTTTTATTAAAAAGTATTTCTGGTATTAAAACCTATTTTTACACAAGTTTGGGTGTTAACAATTTGCCCATAGCTGGGACCCTAACAGGTGCTACCACCCTGGGTCAGGGTGAACCTGGGAACACCAGCAATTAAAAGGTGGTTCCACGCTCCTCAGAACCTACTGATAAGAGACCTTGCTGTTGGACGTAGTTTATCATCTTACCCAGGCCGCGGATGTAGTTTATCGTCATACCCAGGATGCGGATATAGTTTAACGTCTTACCCAAGATGCGGATGTAGTTTATCGTCTTACCCAGGACGCGGATGTAGTTTATCATCTTACCCAGGACGCGGATGTAGCTTATCGTCATACCGAAGACGCATTTACGAGTTTACAACAACGTATCTGTATGTAAAGACAATATGTAGTTGTGCTCTTTCACAATGTTTAACATACAACAGGACAATCGACCCAGCCTTCCACTGGTTGGCCAATGTGTACCACACGTTGCGGCTCTGTTCACGTCCGCGTCGATGTGCATCAAAAACTGAGAAAGACCCAATCCATGTTCACAAGTTAGCGAAAAAAAAATGAAAACAAACGCTAAGACGAGAGATGAGAACTCGAACTCTCTTTCTAATAATGTTGTGGATTCCGTGAATAGAATCCTGCACAAATAAATAAACAACGCCAGTAATTGAGATAGAAAAAAAAGTGTATTAAACGTAAGAATACAGACTTGAAGTGAAGATTAGTAGTCCATTTTAATGCGGGTTAGTAGAAAGTATATGTATAAGAATCTCTGTTAAAAATATGTTCTCTCTCTCTCTCTCTCTCTCTCTGTCTCTCTTGCAAAGAGCAGACCTCAACTTTCTCGATCCTGTGACTGTTAATATAGACTAGCAACCGGAAAACCTTTAATGTCCGGCTTTGTTTTCACTCGATCCCATTTTTTTTTTTTTTTACTTATTTGATCTTTTGTTTTTGTTCGTTCAAGTGTGTGCCGCTTAGAAGAATCGACATCAAAGACCCCACCCGCCGGCCATAAAATAACAAACTCTTAAGATAAAAAACACTTTATTCTACTCTATGGATGTACCAATAACATTGTCGCAATAACAAACAGTCGCATTATTTCAAATGTTCATAGAAATTCAGATATTGTCGGATGTAGAGCAAGTTCATACAGTTTAGTAAACGTCATTACAATTTACCGGAGAAAAAATTACAAGCTAAATTTGGATTTGGCATGTATTTTTAGTTACCAACATATATTTTGACTTCAATCCGATTTGCTTGCCTCTTTTGGCACAGATATATGCAGCTGAACTGTATTTTTGACCTGACTGACTACAACCTGTTGCAAAGTTTCACTTTTATCCTTTTACAAGGGATACAAACAGGGATTTGTTTTCAATTCTCTGAAATCAACAATTTCACGTTGTTTACGTCGTGTTTTCTATTTTCCTGAATAAAAAGAAATTTTTAATCTTATTTAATACTTTGTGTTTGATAAACGGATTTTACCTGAAACATGTTGTTCTGATAGGCGTCTGAAATATTTACATGATGGACCAGAGGGAAAGACAGAAAACAAAAGAGGAAAAGGGAATAAGATGGAAGAAATAAAAGGAGAGATTTCAAAGAAAAATTTTAAGAAAAGCAATGAAATGAAAATTTTCAAATGAAAACGCGAGTAAAATTTAAAGGGTACTTTTTTTTTCTTTTGTTTTACAAAAAGTTGTAAAATCATGAACGGGAATAAAAAAAAAATGAAAACTTCAAGGACAAAGAAAAGGAAATAAATAGGTGAACCTGAAGGGAAAGAAAGGGAATAAAAAGAAAATTCGAAAAAAATATGGAAGAAAAAAATTCAAAGAACAAAAAGAAAAGGGAAAAAATTAAACCGTGAAAGAAAAAGAATTTTATTTTTAAAAAAAATGGAAAGAAGAAAGGACAACAAAAGAAATAATATGCAGGTAAAAAGATTAATTTTAAAGAAAATGAAGGAAAAGAGGAAAAACACAGAAGTAAAGAAAGAAAGAATAAATGGAAGAAAGTCAGTGAGAAACGGAAGAAAGACTTAGTAAGTGAAAAGAAAGAAAAAAGGAAAATTAAAGAGTCAACGAGAATCTAAATACAAAAGAAAAATCATTGAAAAGAAAGAAAGTCAGTGAAAAAAAACAGTAAGAAAAGAAAGAAAAAAGTCAGTGAAAAACTAAACGACAAAAGAAAGAAAAAGAAAACTCATTAAGAAAGAACGAAAGAAAAAAGCCAGTGACAAAAGAAAGAAAGAAAGAAAGTGTCAGTGAGAAAAGATAGAAAGAGAAAGAAAGAAAGAAAGAAAGAAAGAAAGAAAGTGAGAAAAAAGAGTCCGTGAAAAAAGAAAGAAAGAAAAAAGAAGGAGTCGATGAGAAAGAAAGAAAAAAGGTGAAAAGAAATAGTCAGCGAGAAGCTAAAGAACGAAATAGAAAAATGAAAGAAAGAAAGAAAGAAAGAAAGAAAGAAAGAAAGAAAGAAAGAAATCAGTGAGAAAAAAGAGTCAGTAAAAAAAGAAAGAAAAAAAGAGTCAGAGAGAAAAGTTACAAAGAGTCAGTGAGAAAGAAAGAAAGAAAGAAAGAAAGAAAAAGAGTCAGCTAGAAACTAAAGAGCGAAAGGAAGAAAAGGTCATTAAGGAAGAAAGAAACAAAAAATGAAAGTACGTGACAAAACAAAAAATTGTCAATGAGAAAAGAGTCAGTGAGAAAGAAAGAAACAATCGGTTTGAAAATAAAGAAAGAAAAAATGTAAGAAAGAATAAATGAATGAAAGAAACAAAGACAGAATGAAAGAAAAAATAATCGATGAGAAAAAAAGAGCCAGTGAAAAAAAAGAAAGAAAAAAGGAAAATAGAGGCAGAGAGAAAAGTTACAGTCAGTGAAAAAAGAAAGTAAGTGCGAAAGAAAGAAAAAGAAAAAAAAGAGTTATTTAAAAAGAAAGAAAGACCATATTACCGAGTCCATTCTCTCTAGAATCCTTTACGCTTGCATAAAGTGGTGTGAGCAGTGATATTTATAGCCACATATGTCACCTTCGGGTCATCATCGCATTAATGCTTCGTTAGTTTCTCCTGCAAAAAAAAAAGCAAATCATTTAACCAAACGGATGCTGCAGGTCAAAGAGAATATTCTGAGTAATGCACCACCACCAGATGATTTCATTTTTTAAACAGCAGTAAAATAAGCAATATATATATATATATATATATATATATATATATATATAAAACATAAAATGTTCTATATATATATATATATAAATATATAAAAAAATAAAAATGTCTAAATATATATATATATAAACATAAAAATGTCTAAATATATATATATATATATATATTTTTTTTTTTTGTTTTTATATATATATATATATATATAAAACAAAAATGTCTAAATATATATATATATATAACAATGTATAAACATAAAATGTCTAAATATATATACATATATATATAAAGAATGTATAAACATAAATATATATATATAAAGATAAAAAAATGTCTATATATATATATAAAAAATAAAAATGTCTAAAATATATATACATATATATATATATATAAAGAATGTATAAACATAAAAATGTCTATATATATATATATATATTTATAAACAATGTATAAACATAAAAATGTCTCAATATATATTTTAAGACATTTTTATGTTTATACATTCATTTTAGCGATACAAGTATTTAAGTAAATGCTCTGTTTATAATAAACAGTATTAAACAACATTTACCGGCCTGAATGTCCTAGAAATTTTCACAGAAAATATTCGTCCTCCGACAGGATTGCGAACCTGTATCCGATACGGAAACGTCATTTAGCTTGACGTGCCTTTACCGATTTGGCCACGGAGTATCGCTCGGTTAGCAAGGTCGAATTTACTGTATTTAAACTTCTCGGACATTCAAGCTGGTAAATGTGCAGTCGAGAACTGGTTTATTTAATTCCAACTATGTCTATTAATACAAGCCTGGGACCGGACATCAACGATGTCCGGTTTTGTTGTCACTTGACCCTGAAGAAATTTTAATTTATTTATTTTATACTTCTGTTCCTCTTCGGTCAAGTGGGTGCCGCTTAGAAAACCCAAATTCAAAGACTTTAACACCGGCCATAAAACAGGAAAAACTTGTGATCGAGAAAAAAATCATGCACCATTCTTCTCTATCCGGATATCCCATTCATAGTGATGCAAGAGTATTAAGAAAAACCCATGCCTGTCAAATTTTGGCTGTCTGAAAGAGCATGTCTCCACAGTGGGTTGTCGTTCGAAAAGGTCTCCTCGTTCCATCAAGAAAATCTTGGTAGAGGCGTAAGAATCGAAAGGTCGCGAGGGGTCTGTATTTGTGATAGATGTGCATGAGGCGCGCTTAGCGAATAGTTGTTAATCATTCAGCAGGGGTTGGGACTTTTTTGGTTCCTAACAAATAAATTTTAACAAACACCGGCAATGTTTCTTCAAAATTAGAATAAAGGCAATTTTAAAAGGAACTTAGGAATGGCGGTCGGTGAGAGGCGATAACGAGACGAAGGTTCTGCACTTTTGCAAATGGCCAGCCCGACCTTTCGCAAGATTTATATGGGGGCGTGTCACCAGCTCTCTCTCTCTCTCTCTCTCTCTATATATATATATATATATATATATATATATATATATATTCTCGCTCTCTGTCACTCATTCTCTGAAAATTTTTTCTTTTTCGCAAGAATTCCCTGACTTATTTGGAGGATAATTTTCCTCTTATCCCTCTTTTCTAAAAACTCGATTTACCTAATATATTTCTCATTTCTCTCTCTCTCTCTCTTCTCTCTCTCTTACTCACTTTGACTCACTCTTTAATATCAGATAACGTAAATTGGGTAGATCTGTTGCGAGGGAGGGAGAGAGAGAAGAAGAGGGAGAGAAGAAAAGGGAGAGAGGCAGACTGATGAAGAGAGAAAGAAATGATTATCACTTTACAGTGGAGTTGTAAAATAGCACAGTGACCATAAAAATATTTCTATAAATTAAGAACCCTAGAAAGTTAAGCATATCAGAGACGCAAACAAGTTATAAGAGTAACCAGAGGGTCCAGTTTTCTATGTAAATTCATTGAAAACTGATCCCCCTACGGAAGCCAAAACAAAATTTGGAGTGATTATATTCGATTACGCACTCCAGATTACGAGATTTAAAAAAAAATAATTTAAAAAATCAGATGGCATGAGCATATCTTGTTTTGGCTTCCGTAGCGGTATCAAATTATAATGAATTTATATAGAAAACTGGACCCATTATAAGTTCTACAAATTATTTTTCAATATTCTTGATTTGGTGTATTCAATATTGTTATGGTCCAAAGGTCCTTGTACCCCGGGTGATAGTCCAAGGTAGAACCAATAAAGAAGAACTCGAACACGGATATGGAATAACACAGATATATTACAAACAGGAATATATACAGAGAAGTAGAAAGTGTTAGCACGAACAATCAGGTTTAGTAGAGAGAACAATGCAATTCCGGCCAGTATCACAATTCCAATGTCTTGTAATTGACTCGACTCTTGACTCGACTTGAACTACTGACGATATTCAGTCACCCACTACGAGGGTGTCAAAAACACGAGGCCTTTTTAACGTGGGCATTTCGAGCCCGTGGGCTCGGCCAAAAATATGCCCGTTTGAAACCGCCTAAACGGGTTCAGGGCCGGTTTTACCTCACCGAAGCAGACCCCGCCCTTCGGCGTAGCCTCCTTCTGGTTCCTCTCCGTCCGTAGACAGCGAGTTGAACCGAACAGTCGCCCAGAAAGTACTGACTCGACTGACGATATTGAGTCTCCCCCCGCCCAATGGGACAACATGTGACACAAGGTCGGTTTTTATTGTTGGTTTTCCCGAGCCCATGGGCGCGGCACAAAATATGCCCATTTGAACCCGCCTAAACGGGTTCAGGGCCGGTTTTTACCTCCACGAAGGAGACTCCGCCCTTCGGCGTAGCCTCCTTCGGGTTCCTCTCCGCCCTTCGGTGTAGAGTCCTTCGGATTCGAACCGCCCGTAGGAAGAGAGTTAAACCGAACAGTCAGAAAGTACTGACTGTTTATGACGATATTCAGTCACCCCCACACGAGGGTGTCAAACATGAGGCCTTTTTAACGTGGGCATTCCGAGCCATTAGGCTCGGCCAAAAAATAGCCCATTTGAACCCGTATAAACGGGTTCAGGGCCGGTTTTACCTGCCCGAAGGAGACTCCGCCCTTCAGCGTAGCCTCCTTCGGGTTCCTCCCGCCCGTAGGAAGAGAGTTTAACCGAACAGTCGGTTCAGAGTTGAACGACTGACGATATTCAGTCACCCCCCCAACGAGGGTGTCATGTGGCACAAGGCCTTTTTAACGTGGGCATTCCTGAGCCATTAGGCTCGGCCAAAAATAGCCCATTTGAACCCGTATAAACGGGTTCTGGGCCGAGTTACCTCCCCGAAGGAGACTCCGCCCTTCGGCGTAGCCTCCTTCGGGTTCCTCCCGCCCGTAGGAAGAGAGTTTAACCGAACAGTCGCTCAGAAAGTGAGCGACTGACGATATTCAGTCACCCCCCCCACGAGGGTGTCATGTGGCACAAGGCCTTTTTAACGTGGGCATTCCCGAGCCATTAGGCTCGGCCAAAAAATAGCCCATTTGAACCCGTATAAACGGGTTCAGGGCCGGTTTTACCTCCCCCCGAAGGAGACTCCGCCCTTCGGCGTAGCCTCCTTCGGGTTCCTCCCGCCCGTAGGAAGAGAGTTGAACCGAACAGTCGGTTCAGAAAGTGAACGACTGACGATATTCAGTCACCCCCACGAGGGTGTCATGTGGCACAAGGCCTTTTAACGTGGGCATTCCCGAGCCATTAGGCTCGGCCAAAAAATAGCCCATTTGAACCCGTATAAACGGGTTCTGGGCCGAGTTTTACCTCCCGAAGGAGACTCCGCCCTTCGGCGTAGCCTCCTTCGGGTTCCTCCCGCCCGTAGGAAGAGAGTTTAACCGAACAGTCGCTCAGAAAGTGAACGACTGACGATATTCAGTCACCCCCCCACGAGGGGTGTCATGTGGCACAAGGCCTTTTTAACGTGGGCATTCCCGAGCCATTAGGCTCGGCCAAAAAATAGCCCATTTGAACCCGTATAAACGGGTTCAGGGCCGATTTTACCCCCGAAGGAGACTCCGCCCTTCGGCGTAGCCTCCTTCGGGTTCCTCCCGCCCGTAGGAAGAGAGTTGAACCGAACAGTCGCTCAGAAAGTGAGCGACTGACGATATTCAGTCACCCCCACCACGAGGGTGTCATGTGGCACAAGGCCTTTTTAACGTGGGCATTCCCGAGCCATTAGGCTCGGCCAAAAAATAGCCCATTTGAACCCGTATAAACGGGTTCAGGGCCGGTTTTACCTCCCCCCCGAAGGAGACTCCGCCCTTCGGCGTAGCCTCCTTCGGGTTCCTCCCGCCCGTAGGAAGAGAGTTTAACCGAACAGTCGGTTCAGAAAGTGAACGACTGACGATATTCAGTCACCCCCCCACGAGGGTGTCATGTGGCACAAGGCCTTTTTAACGTGGGCATTCCCGAGCCATTAGGCTCGGCCAAAAAAATAGCCCATTTGAACCCGTATAAACGGGTTCTGGGCCGAGTTTACCTCCCCGAAGGAGACTCCGCCCTTCGGCGTAGCCTCCTTCGGGTTCCTCCCGCCCGTAGGAAGAGAGTTAAACCGAACAGTCGCTTCAGAAAGTGAACGACTGACGATATTCAGTCACCCCCACGAGGGTGTCATGTGGCACAAGGCCTTTTTAACGTGGGCATTCCCGAGCCATTAGGCTCGGCCAAAAAATAGCCCATTTGAACCCGTATAAACGGGTTCAGGGCCGAGTTTTACCTCCCGAAGGAGACTCCGCCCTTCGGCGTAGCCTCCTTCGGGTTCCTCCCGCCCGTAGGAAGAGAGTTTAAACCGAACAGTCGGTTCAAAAGTGAACGACTGACGATATTCAGTCACCCCCCCACGGGGTGTCATGTGGCACAAGGCCTTTTTAACGTGGGCATTCCCGAGCCATTAGGCTCGGCCAAAAATAGCCCATTTGAACCCGTATAAACGGGTTCTGGGCCGGTTTTACCTCCCGAAGGAGACTCCGCCCTTCGGCGTAGCCTCCTTCGGGTTCCTCCCGCCCGTAGGAAGAGAGTTTAACCGAACAGTCGCTCCAGAAAGTGAACGACTGACAATATTCAGTCACCCCCCCACGAGGGTGTCATGTGGCACAAGGCCTTTTTAACGTGGGCATTCCCGAGCCATTAGGCTCGGCCAAAAAATAGCCCATTTGAACCCGTATAAACGGGTTCTGGGCCGGTTTTACCTCCCCGAAGGAGACTCCGCCCTTCGGCGTAGCCTCCTTCGGGTTCCTCCCGCCCGTAGGAAGAGAGTTAAACCGAACAGTCGCTCAGAAAGTGAACGACTGACGATATTCAGTCACCCCCCACGAGGGTGTCATGTGGCACAAGGCCTTTTTAACGTGGGCATTCCCGAGCCATTAGGCTCGGCCAAAAAATAGCCCATTTGAACCCGTATAAACGGGTTCAGGGCCGGTTTTACCTCCCCGAAGGAGACTCCGCCCTTCGGCGTAGCCTCCTTCGGGTTCCTCCCGCCCGTAGGAAGAGAGTTGAACCGAACAGTCGGTTCAAAAGTGAACGACTGACGATATTCAGTCACCCCCCCACGAGGGTGTCATGTGGCACAAGGCCTTTTTAACGTGGGCATTCCCGAGCCATTAGGCTCGGCCAAAAAATAGCCCATTTGAACCCGTATAAACGGGTTCAGGGCCGGTTTTACCTCCCCGAAGGAGACTCCGCCCTTCGGCGTAGCCTCCTTCGGGTTCCTCCCGCCCGTAGGAAGAGAGTTTAACCGAACAGTCGCTCAGAAAGTGAACGACTGACGATATTCAGTCACCCCCCACGAGGGTGTCATGTGGCACAAGGCCTTTTTAACGTGGGCATTCCCGAGCCATTAGGCTCGGCCAAAAAAAATAGCCCATTTGAACCCGTATAAACGGGTTCAGGGCCGAGCACTTTCCCCGAAGGAGACTCCGCCCTTCGGCGTAGCCTCCTTCGGGTTCCTCCCGCCCGTAGGAAGAGAGTTTAACCGAACAGTCGGTTCAGAAAGTGAACGACTGACGATATTCAGTCACCCCCCACGAGGGTGTCATGTGGCACAAGGCCTTTTTAACGTGGGCATTCCAGAGCCATTAGGCTCGGCCAAAAAAATAGCCCATTTGAACCCGTATAAACGGGTTCAGGGCCGAGTTTACCCCCTGAAGGAGACTCCGCCCTTCGGCGTAGCCTCCTTTCGGGTTCCTCCCGCCCGTAGGAAGAGAGTTTAACCGAACAGTCGCGCAGAAAGTGAACGACTGACGATATTCAGTCACCCTCACCACGAGGGTGTCATGTGGCACAAGGCCTTTTTAACGTGGGCATTCCCGAGCCATTAGGCTCGGCCAAAAAATAGCCCATTTGAACCCGTATAAACGGGTTCAGGGCCGGTTTTACCTTCCCGAAGGAGACTCCGCCCTTCGGCGTAGCCTCCTTCGGGTTCCTCCCGCCCGTAGGAAGAGAGTTAAACCGAACAGTCACTCAGAAAAAAATGAACGACTGACGATATTCAGTCACCCCCCCACGAGGGTGTCATGTGGCACAAGGCCTTTTTAACGTGGGCATTCCAGAGCCATTAGGCTCGGCCAAAAATAGCCCATTTGAACCCGTATAAACGGGTTCAGGGCCGGTTTTTACCCCCGAAGGAGACTCCGCCCTTCGGCGTAGCCTCCTTCGGGTTCCTCCCGCCCGTAGGAAGAGAGTTCAAACCGAACAGTCGGTTCAAAATGTGAACCACTGATGATATTCAGTCACCCCCCACGAGGGTGTGTCATGTGGCACAAGGCC